TTAAGATAGGGGGCAGGATGGGAACATTATTGGTGGGTGGCAGGAAGTGATAACAGCTGATAAGATACCATAAGGAGCCTCAGAAAGAGTGGGTTACCTAATTCATAACACCGGCCAGAGCAACGACCGGACGTTGGATACAAGTAGTAAGATAGGGGGCAGGATGGGAACATTATTGGTGGGTGGCAGGAATTGATAACAGCTGATAAGATACCATAAGGAGCCTTAGAAGGGTAGGGACACCTAACTCACAACGTCGACCAGCACAACGGGACGTCGGTTCCAAGAGGCAAGATAGTGTGCAGGATGGAACCATTATTGGTTTGTGGCAGGATATGATAAGAGCTGATAAGATACCCCGAAAATTCACAGCAGAGTTGTTGCAACACTGTGGAACTGCTCCAGCAAGTAATTCAGGGGTGCTCAGGGAACATTAAAGGTGGGAGATAAATTCTGTCAGTGTCCGACAACGGCTTTTGGGACTCCGTATATGCTCACATCATCGTGGCCAAATTTCTATTCCTAGCAATATCCCTCAGTTTAGCGGTCGGAATTGCTTCCACCGCTAAACGCTCGAGTTTCACCGGAAAGGGAATTGTTGGCCAGTGAGGAATGATAAGAGCCACTATGATTTCGACTTTTTTATCATCGAAATTCTTCCCACCGCTATGCTGTCCTATCCCAACGAATGGTGCTTTTAGAAATATGATAGGCACCAAACACTGGCAAATGTTCATTAAAACGGAGAAACACGATGAAATAGTGCTCAGGACAAATCCTGTCAGTTATCGTAGTACCATGGGTTTAACCATGCGCGCAGTAGTGCGCGTCAGCCAGACTGGTTACAACATATGAGGCTCAGGGATAGTTCAATTATATCGTAATGCTAAATAAGCTGAACGGAGCGTGCTTCACCATATGCCGCACGCGGCCATACGGAGGCAAGTGAAGCACACGGTGCAGCACGCGATACGCAGTGGGTTAAGGTAATTGTAGCTTGAGCAGGCATAACAGGGATTTCGGGCTCTTTTCAGTTGACTCATCGATCTATAAAAACCGTTCGCACCATATCAAGGGAAGGTGGACATTGGGACACGCGGTGTCGTGACAGCCTGTAAACAGTGTGCTTATGGTCATGCGCTTGTTCGCAATGGTCCACCATGTCATTGCTTGATTGTGTTCTTTTCATATTATAGTATTAATAAAACAGTTCATTTATAACTTTCCCTTCAGTCTCTCACACTCATTATACTAGCAGTGTCATGATGTTCAGATTTCGTTCCATCTATATTATTGAAGAGTTAAATGTGGTGATTAAATTGTTGTGCAACCTTCGGCAGACGGGTTCGGACACGTTTCGGAATTTGGCGGTTCTCGTCTGTAACCTTACTGTGAATACTATAAGGTAAAGCGAGTACAGTAACACTATAATGTGAAGCGAACACAATAAAGCAATGACATATTGGGCCATCGCGAACGTGCACTGGATAACAACCATGCGGTATTTGGCAGTCTACTGCACACGTGACGCCGCGTGGCCCAACCCTAACAATGTCCATATCGAGACTTGTCATTCAACATTCAATTTTAAGGCACTTTTGAAGCGAAGACCGTACCATCGACAAGCTGGGGGACTCTCTGCAACTGATCATGAATACGGTAATGCTGGAGAATACGGTGAGTATCATGTTGTACAAAGGAGGCTTCCCTCTTTGTATTGTGTTAGCCCACAAGTAATGGCGTTTTTTCCCGACACAGATTTTTTTTGTACGGGAAGAGACAATTGTTCCCAATATATTCTACACCGTTTGGTAGACAATTTTCTGCTCTATAAGGCAGTATGTTTGCCTTCCTACTGTTTTTTGATTCCTTTTATTTTTATATCACAGAAATGGAGTGTCAGGTCGACCTAATAGTTAGTTTTCGACAACATCTTTTTGCGTTTTATCTCGGCTTTCAAGTTACACAAGCTCAAAACCTGTAGTTTGTATGATGGTATGTATGACCAAGGAAAGATGCTCTTTATGGCGGCGTAAAGTTGGCTCGAGCTCAAGAGATCGAAATCCGGACCTTGTGAATGTACACTGCATGGCCACTTGAGGAGCGACTGCCTGCAGAACCTACTCCCTGACTTTTGAACGTTAATCATAGTCTGAGGGTGACGCTTGGTGCTGATAAGGAGCATTCCGTGATCTCTAACGATTCTTCAATCTTGGGCATGAATTTCGGTTAACGAAGTGGTTCAGTAAGCTCTCGGTTGGACTCAATAGGGCATTAGGTTCGATGCTTGCCTATAGGTCGAAATTGAAATCTTCGAATAACTTAAACCCTTGAACACTTAGATATTATTGGAAAGAAAAAATTCAAGAAAACTGAGAAGACTGTCGTTTAGGGCAAGCAACTCTTTACAGAACAATTTAGAAGTCAATGGCAAAACTTTTCATCTTTAGCGCGATATTTCAAGTAAGAAAAAAAACGCCACTACTTTTGGGCCGACCCAATATTTCACTCGTCTCTGCGGGACGTGTAATATCGGCATATATTCGATGTTCAAAAAACTGTTTTCTGCTCCTTTGGAGTAAGAATTCCAATTCTGTTGGCAGATCTCAAAGAAAGACTCGATACTGCTTCATTTTGAAAGAAAAGACACCACACACACGTGTCGCGGAGGCAGTGGAGCGTTTGTTGCAACAAGTGGCCAGACATTGATGGTTGATGGTCAAGGTCGTATCAGCTGATAAAAGCTGAAAAGCACCGTCACAAGGAAAATGTCGTCAGATTCATCATGCACCTCATATGCACTTGGTGTTGTGTGTGTGTGTGAGTAAGTGTGTGTGTGTGTGTAAGTGTGTAAGTGTGTGTGCTTGTGTGTGAGTGCGTGTGTATGTGTGTGTGTGGTGTGGTGGGTGTGGGTTTGTGCGTGTTTGTGATGTGCTGTGGTGAGTGTGATGTAGTAAGTGTGCCTGTGTGGTGCGGTATGCGGTGTGTGGAGTGTGTGGGTGTGTGTGTGTGTGTGTGTGGTGTGTGATGTGCTGTGGTGTGGTGTGATGTGGTATGGTGATGTTGTATGGTGTGTAATGTAGTGTGTGTCGTGGTGTGGTGTTGTATGGTGTGTAATGCAGTGTGTTTCGTGGTGTGGTGCGTGGATGGGGTGTGTGTGTGTGTGTGTGTGTGTGTGTGTGTGTGTGTGTGTGTGTGTGTGTGTGTGTGTGTGTGTGTGTGTGTGTGTGTGTGTGTGTGTGTGGTGTGTGAGGTGTGTGTTTGCGCTGCGCGGCATAGCGTTTGTGTTGCCGGTTAGAAATAAAGCTTATGTTCTTCTCGCTCTCTCTTCCATCTTCATATGAATTCCACTTAATCACCGATCTGTTTGCTCAAGAATGGTCAAAACAAACATAAGTCTCTAGCACTTAACAACAACCTGGTGCATCGGCCTAAATAAGCCACCACTCCCTTGTCAGAGCGCAACAACTTTGAGACCAGGAAAGAAACTGGCTCCTTCAGCCAGTCATGTTTGGTCGAATCCAAGGCTACGATTCATTTGATTCGTACGTCTTCCATACTAGGTAGGCGGACACATTCTCTGCACAAATAGGCAGCTCTGGTCTCCCATATCGGATACCAGGAGCAAATCATCTTAGCAATTTTACAAGAAAAAGCATACCAACTCGCCATGGCCATTGGAGGGTGAGATGAATACGTCTGGAATCGTCTTCGGACGCTGAAATCATATCTGACTTTCGAATCCGCTAAACGATTCCAGGAGGGAAGTTACTCCTCTTTTCCGGTACTGTGCTCAGCCATTCTTGTGCGATCAGGGAACAGCATGGGGATGTGCGAAACGTCGGTGTGAGTACGACCCCCCCCCCCCCCTTCGAATGGGGTCCCAGGCACGACCCCCTCCCCCCTTTTTCGCATAACGACGAGCGATGAGCAGATGAGTATATAGTCGGCGAAAAAGTTGTCGAGCGGGGGTATACAATAACTATGCAACGTATATCCCACGGGCGTACAGAATGCATATAGTGCATATAAAACAAAAAATTAATACGACCCCCCTTTTCCACAAGAAAAAATCAACTATCAAAATAAATTTGTCTTACAAATACGACCCCCCTCCCCAGAGCAAAAGTACGACTACCCCCCAAGGGTTTGACATAACGATGCTGTACCCTGTGTGCGATCCCTGCCCGTACTTTGCGCTTATGAACCCCTCGTGACACATCTGTAGTATGATGGCACAGGTTCGGATCCTTGCTGTACTTCGTAATTTTGCTTCTTGAGACGTGCTGAACCCTGAAAGTAGTTCTACGTATCACCTCGAGCTTCCCGCCCCCTCTCTACCCCTTATTGAGCCCTGTGGATGACTCCGAAAGAATTCCGAATTCAATGGAAGCGATCGAATTGAAAGTGTTGATGTCTCACATTTATGTTCATGCGAAAAGATTTCCTTGGCTCATCTGGCTCGTCTCTGCAATAACTCACTCCTTTATCTTTTCTGCCCCTCCTCCCCTGAGAAAAGCAGAGAACTTCACCTAATGGTTAGACACATAGGAAGATATTATAAAAGCTCTAGAGGTTAATAGCTCAAGTTCTTACTTTGCAAGTTCTCTCAATTTCCGCAGGCGATATTCGGTAGATTCACCTCAACCGCACGTGTGCTATGGACTTAAACAAAAGTGAAGTGTCCATAATTGCCATGGGACAAGGGGAACTTCCAGACTTTCCTTATCGGAACTCCACATCCGCAAAAGTGACTGGAGATCTTCTTCTAGCTCTGAGGGGGCTTTCTTCATAGCCATCAATCAGGTGATGAGAGTATGGTGGGGTTTTGTGCCACCTTCCTCGCTGTTGATTAGGAAGTTGTCGTCGAGCAGAATGGAAGCGAAGCTCTCTGGGGTTCCATCTCTTCTTGAGATAATGATCGCACAATATCGCAAGATCCGAATTCTTCCACTAGATTTGATAGCACCGAAGTCGAGCAGAACATTTCTAAAGTTATCGGCGTAGGGACGGCACACTAACTCTTTCAGGCAAGTTTAGGTGAGCAGTGGTGTAGACGTTAGAAACACTCTTTGCCATATTCCATTACGAAGCGAAAATTAAGTGTAGCAGGCATTCTAACCCAAGACGAGTGGTTTGCTCTGAGGTCAAAGCTTCATAACTCCGTTCAGAGAATAGTTCAGCAGTTCTCAGAGGCAGATTTGAGGTCAGCGTCCAAAAACACGTTCCGTGGTCTGCGACAGTTTCCATTTCGACTTGAGGACCATCCCCGGTCACTTCACTATATATTTCCTTCCCGGAATACTAACAAGAAGGTATACTGAAACTGCTTGGCACCCGCACCACAAGGGGCGGTTCCAAAACACGCTGAACAAATTCGCTAAAGGCTTCCCCCCCAGAGGTAATTCGGCATCTCGAAATTGAATACCACATCCACTTGGCCGGAAATCGCCTGGCGCCCACCCAACCGCCTGTGCCAAAATCCTCGACCACTAAATAACGGATTGGCGCCAAATTGCGCCAGGGTCAAGAATGAAATCTTGTTCGTGATCAAGGCACCGCATAGCCTTGCTATGCAAACGTATATCGATTTTGGTGAGAAAAGTTGTGGTACCGAATTGGGGTCTAATGGCGCCAAATGGCGTCAGCGTCAAAAACGACTCACGTCATGCTCGTGATCAGCGCACCCGTATAGGCAGAATCCCAGCAAATTTTTTTCGAGTTTTTTTTAGTTGAATAGTGGCGATTCTCGTATACAGGATGACAAAGTACCTCTTGCGGACAAATTTTCAGTGAATTTGGTGATTTAGCGTATTTAGGCGCCGGCGCCTGTGGCGGATAGGTGGATGTATTCGTGTCCAGGAGGTGAGATTGGTCAAATTACCCCTTGGGACAAACTTTTAGCCGAGTCTGCCCTCGGAGAAAAAGGCTGTCAAAAACTGGCCTGATTTCGGATGATTGGGGAAGTGAACCGGTAAATAGTGTCAAAAAGGCTAACAGTATAACCGAAGAAACCCAGTGGAAGAAAAACTCTTCGATAATTTCCGGTCCAATGCGGGGACCAAAGGATTTATGATAGTGACGGGTGTAGGGAGTTCGCTAGAAACCTGCATATTGA